AGCCTCTCGCCGCCCCTGAGCCTGCACCCCAGTTCTGTATGAACAAATTAAAAATATATATATTAAAAAAAGAATTAATGAGACAATGAGGAAGTCCCTAAACAGAATACATAAAAATGAATGTATTATGAATTATCACAATGCATTCAAATACTGAACTCTATAGTTACCAAGATTGTCAAAACACTGCTGTCCTCTAGAAGAAATTCTTTAAAGTCACCAATAAAAAAAATCTCTGACTTTACAAAATTACAAATAAGCTTGAGAAAAATAATTTAACTCATTGTATTAGCAAAGTTTGGGATTTAAAGGAAAAGCATGTGTTCTTCAAAGATTAAATAAGAATAAGTTATAAACCGGCACATTCCTCTAATAGGAATAATACCCACCTACAATTGTTGTCTTTCAAACAGGTGAGAGTAGTTTATATTCTCTGAGGTTCAGTTAGTGAGGTTCCTGGTGGTTTTGTAAATAAAAGCATAAAAAATTTATTGTGTAGCCTTAATTTTAAATTCCATGTCTTCTTTTCAAGTAGATTTTTTAAATTACTTGTGTTTAAAAGAGACAAACTTTTGAAACTTTAAGGAGTACTTAAGGAAGTACTTGGGAATTGAGAGTATAATTAATCAATACTCCCAGGTATTTAGTATGCATTAGGTGTCTCTACATACAGTCCCTGAATTACCATGTCTTGACTTATTTTTCAACTTTACATTGGTGTAAATCAATACATAGTAAAGACTGTACTTTGTGTGTTTTTTTAATTTATTCATACAAGAACTGGGGTACAGGCTAGAGGTGTGGGAGGTAACAGGATTCACCAGAGACAGAGTGGGGAGCAGAACAGCCAGATCCACTAAGTACACTGCTGAGGGGAGCAGCGGGCAGGTCAGGAGAGGTCTGCTGCGCCATGTGGATCTCCTCTCCTCCAGGGCAGGCGGGGATCAAACTCATGTGGAAGTGTCTTATGCTTCTTTATGCTGTGCTTTAACCCGCTGCACCACCAGGGAGGGCCCAGTCTTGACTTATTTTTCAACTTTACATTGGTATAAATCAATACATAGTAAAGACTGTATTTTGTGTTTTTTTAATTGTTTATTATTCATTCATACAAGAACTGGGGTACAGGCTAGAGGTGTGGGAGGTGACAGGATTCACCAGAGACAGAGTGAGGAGCAGAACAGGAAGATTGACTGAAATACACTGCTGAGGGGAGCAATGGGTGGGTCGGGACAGGCCTGCTGCACCATGTAGGTCAGTTCTGTGGCTGGGGATCCAATTGGTTGCTGCAGTGGCTATGAAGAGCTTCATGGTGCTGTGCTTTAGCCCACTGCACCACCAGAAAGGACCCAGAAACTACAAAATTTGAATTTTGATCTGTACTATGATGCTGGACAGAATAAGCACAGTTCCCAGTCACCATGAGATCACAACAGCAAACAAACAAAATTGTACCATGTACTAAGTTGCCAGCATTTTTGCAATGTTATGTTTTGTGTTTCTGCATGTCATCATGTCTGGTTTTTGCTTTTATTATGGTGTTCAATAAATTACCTGAACTATTAATATAAATGAGACTTTCTGTTAGATGATTTTGCCCAACTCTATGCTAATGTAAGTGCTCTGAGTGTGTTTTAGGTAGGCTAGACTGAGCTGATGCTTTATAGGTATGCTATATTACATCAATTTATAATGGGCTTATCAGAATATAAACCCATCATAATTCAAGAGGGTGGTCCCCAGGGAAAGGGGAGTTTCCATGTTTTCTATCACACCCACTGAAGGGTGAAGCTGAGCAAGGAGAAGCTGGAGAGGAGACTGGAGAAAAGAAGGAGACCTGGAAGAGTCACATGGAGAAGAGAGACATGGGAAGAAGATATATTTGCTTCTTGGATTTGGATTTGTGCCAGGGATTTGGATATGGAAGAAGACACTTTATAGAGACATAGGGGAGAGACTTAGAGAAAGGAAAACAATGCAGGGTTTATTTGATTTTGATTTTCTCTTTTCTTTTCAGACTTTTCTGACTCCTTCTGGCCCCTGTGTAAGGGCCCCCACTAGAAGATGCCTTCAACTTGTGGCAAGTTTATGGACTTCAGCTGCCCTGCTTTGGGCCAACCCTGTTTGGCTAGGCATGAGGGAATGGGTAACAATAGATGCTTGATTTGGAAACTACAATATATTCTATCTTTCTTTATTCTTTTCTTTACTGAACACTAATTAAATTTCATTTCCAGTGGAGATCTTATGCACTAGAGTATATTTTGTCTTGATGCAGCTGATAACAAAATCTATTTAAAGTAGGCAGAATTTGGGGTTTCTTGGGTGTCCCTCACCCTGCCCAGTAACAATAACAAGATATATTTCTCTGTCCCACCAGATAAATAATGCTGTTTCCTTTATTTTTGTCTCTAGGCTTAATAAATGCTGTTTTCTTTATATTTAAAGGGAAAAGAGCTTTGCTATAAAGATAACATCAGAATTACTGACCACCGGAAGAGAAGACTCTGATGTCCTCCTTAATTTGTTGACAAATTAAACTACTTTCCTTCTTAAAAAGTTTTCTTTTATTGACCAAGGAAACAGATACTGGCTGGCATTCCAATATCAATTCTAGAAAGATCTATACTAAAAGTTTTGATGAGCAAGAGTAAGAAGTCAGAACAAAAGGGGGGTAAATTCCCTTGATTGAAACTCATGGATTTTGGAGCCACAGACTTCTTATATACTGCTGATGATCTTTTTGATAAAAGGATTATAAACACTATAGAGTGTCAACAATCAAAACTACTAAAAGGCTAAGTAGTTCTAGATTCTTTAAACCAAAGGCTTGTAAACTATTACTGTAAAAGGCAAGATACTAAATATTTTAAGTTTTGCAGGCCAGATGGTTTCTGTTTCAACTATTTAACTCCATCTTTGTAGTGAAAAAGCAGCCAGAGATAATGTTATAAACAAATGGATGAGGTTTTTTCCCAATGAATTTATTCATAGAAACAGGCAAGTGGAAACGTTTGGCCTAGAAGCCATGGTTTGTTAACTGCCAGCTCTAAAATCCCAGCATCTTTTCTAGGAGAAAAGATGTCCTCTTTGAGGACAAGTCTCTGGTCAAACTCTTAATCCCATATTTCTTTTCTGACCATTTATCCTTCTCAATTTGCCAGTTTCTTTCTTCTTTTCTTGTTTCTTCTTTGCTCCACCCTTACCCTGAGTCTGGATTTGCAGGCAGCCCTTTCTCAGAAACCCTGACTGACTCTCTGAGGAAAAAGTAGGTCTTAATGAGTCAGGATCACAAAATGGTTGTTAGGACCTCACTATGTTTAAAAGAGAAAACATTTAGGATGATTGCTTAACATAGATCTCATTACTGATAATAGTAGGATTTACCATAGGGAACATACTTGGAGAGTCTCAGACACACGCAATAAAATAAAAAAAAAAAAAAGCTAATGGCTATGACTTGACTCACACAATGGTCACTTTGTTAAGCCTCTTTTATACATAAATGATGAGGTCTCAACTATGCTCAAATTATACAGTTAAGCAGATGAAAAATGTTCTTAGAAATCCTGGCAGAATTTGTAAGGGATGCATTTGAAAATAAAGGAAAATTGGAGAATTTCCTGAAACTAATCTTTTACAGTGAAGGAAACTTTTCCCCTAAAAATTATAAATTAATTATATATCAATAATTCCTGTGCAATGTTACGGGACCAAAATGATGCAACAAGACAGACATGGAAGGTGAGGAAAGGAAGCATAGCTGTTGGCTTGGGAAGTGCCAGACTGTTTACAGAGGGTACCTGCAGGTGACTATCAGTCAGGTGTCTGCAGGAAACAGATGGTGCAGTGAACTGGCTAATTCTAGGAGAATTTAATAAAGGAACTATTTTCAAAGGGAAATAAATATGCAAATCAACAATAATCACATATTTGCTAAGTTGTGCGACTTTTGAGGCTAAAAAAGAAGTTGAGTTAATAAATTGTGTCAGGACAGTGGTTTGAAACTCTGTCTGGCCCAGCCAAACTGTAACATTTGGATTAATGTAGTATCCCAGGTTAACAAGAATAAGAGTTATTACCCTCCCAGACCTACAGGGACACTACAAAGAAAGATAACAAGAGAAAAATGTCAACAGGAGTAAAGGACCTCAGGAAAGGAAAGCATCCCACCTATAGAAAACCAAGAAGAAGGGGTTGATTAAAATCCCAAACTTCACTGTCCTCCTACTCTTTGATTTCTTGCTAACATCTCCCACTGGCTGAACCAAATCAAAAATATCTATACAAGTGGCAACATTTCTCAACATAGAATAACTATGCAAATATAACCAGCCTGTCATAGGAAAGTCCCTCACTCCACTCTCTTGTTTACAAATGGCCCCAAAGAATTTTAGACAAAGCCTGGAGTTTGATAAAACCAGTCAATAGTTCAAACCAAAACAAAAATTGCTTGAAAGAGATGTATAATGCAAACTTAATGGGTAAAATGGACATGCACTTCAGTCACCACAAACCATACATTGACTACTTGACATTACATAAATACAGTATCTGAGTATGAACAATGAAGGCAGAATATCAAGAAAAAATAAATATCCATCTTTGTAAACTGTGGCCCTTCTTTTCTAAGTGAACAACAACAAAAAATAATTTAGGGTAGAAAGATTATGTGGCCAGCAATCTTCAGATATCTAGAACAATTCACTTTACTTCCAAGTCCAAATGGACACCATACCCATCTACTGGGGAAAGCCCATTGTAACCCATCTTAAAATACAACCTAGGTAAGGTTTGGGTCATCCACTTTTCTTAAACCATAGGAGATTTCAGCCATTTCAACGGTTTTTTTAAGTCAATGATTCAATAACTTATTCAGGAGGAAAAACTTTCCTCTCCTACCTGTTCTTCACCGCACTCCGATGAAAAGTCTTCTGCTGCACTCTGTACTCTGTGACTCTGACCTTATATGCTCAGTCTCATGGCTCAGGTGTGCCGCTATGATGTTGACCTTACATACTCAGTCTCCCGGCTCAGGTGTGCCCACTTACACATGGCCACACAACACTCCAGGTGTCCAGTATCAGGCACACGTAGCCCAAGCCCATGCTCCCAAGTGCCTCCTGCATTCAAAGCTGCAGGTTAGAGTCTAGCAACAGCACAAAAATCTAGAAATCCTTATCTAACCTACAGACATGAAATGAAAATGTTAAGGAAATAAGTGAATGATAGATCTTGCAAGGAGGATAGGAGAAAAAAAAAAGTTGTAACCCATCTGATTGGAATGTGAACATACTGTAAAATGTTCTGGGTTTAACCTCTCTCTGCTCTCACAGACAAGATAAAAAAGCAGTTGCCTGGATTTGAAGACTGTGAAACAGCTATGCAAAATCTGCTGCTTGCAGGTAAATCCAGACTTTTCAATGTCCACTAATGATCATGGAGCCTGATAAAAATGATTCAAAGAATACATAACCAGTCATTGCGTCTCCACAGTGCACTCTTTAAAAAGAAAGGATTATATCCTCAGCGTTGGTTCCTCTGCACATAGACAGTATCAACATATATTTAGGAAAAATAACTTAGAACCAGAGTCCTCGCCAAGTATAACTAAAATTTTTAGGTCAATAACTCATTGTTCCTACCAATATTAATGAAATTAAAACATGGTTATTAGAACAGCTCTCAAATAGTCACATTACTATACTACTTAGGTTCAAATCCTCACCTTGGTTATTAATAAAATCATTGGCTAACTATCACAGAAGGTGCATTCTGCTTAACAGGTGAGAGTATTGCCTAAGTTTTGCTACAGTGAGTACACTTCTGTTTCCTACCAGATGGATCATGCCATAATTGAACTAACCCTAGAACTTCCCAAACTACCTAAGTAGACACTATTTACACTTTCATTACTTGAACAACTAGAAAGATAAAAAGACAGCAAACTTTTCAGCCCACCAGGAAATGTCAGAGATACTCTTACTAAATGGTTGTTCTAGGCAAGGATAGTAGCAAAGAGCTAGAAGGCGATCTTCACAGAGATTTCCAAAGTTAATATGTTTCAGCTTATTGAGGATTTAGTGAATATCTAATGCATGTAACATGTAAGACTGAATTTTATAGTGACTATGGTAATGACCACAGCATAAGAGAATTTGACACCTTCTAATGATCTTGCAGTGTTCATCATGTTTTCTCCATTGCAATGATTATTTAAATGATCAGAAATCAATTTTGAGGTTGTCTTTATTTTCCAGTTCTTAATAATGTTTCTGATCCTTCCCTGTATCTGATCCTTACCTCATTTATCCCTCAGCTCCTTTCTTTAACATTATTTTGACTTTTATTTTTCTTGCCTTCTAACACAATTGTAAGTCACTTTGAATGTTCCTGGGCAAAGTAAGTAGCTATTGAAACAATCAATTATTATAAAGTATTATTATAAAACTTGCTTCTGTACACTTCCCAGTCTAAGAAAAAGATAAGGTTGATAATAGTACTGAGATGTTGCCTAAGGAATGGAGGCTATAAAAGGGAAGCCCAAAATTGATATGACTTAAAGAAAAAAGGACACATCCAGGTAAGAGGCCACTTTTGGACATGTGCTATCAAATTAGTGTCAAATGGCAGAAGAATAACAACACCAGAAGAGGTGAGTCTAGAAGAAAGCTTAGGACATTTTTGGAGCTTATTCATTTCAGATACTACTTGACAAAAAACATAAGACTGGAAAGATCGCTTGGAGCCCAGGGGTGTGGGATTTGTAAATGGGAATCTACCAAGAGGTTTTTGAGCATAAAAGTGATATGTTAATCCATGAAGTCACGCAGGTACAGATAGGAAATTGAGGGACAAGAGTTAAACTGGAAATAACAGGCAAGGAGACATCTTCTAGGATGCTAGTCTCACCTCTTCAAAGACAAAAGAGAACAGAAGCAGTTTTTCTAAAGAAGAAGGAAGAAATAAAGGGAGACTCATGCTCCATTTTATCTGTGAGAATGCAAGTCAACTCAGTGTGGGTGGCTTTCTTTGCCCCTACCCCATCAGTATATTCCAACCCAGTGAAGAAATCTGTGTCTAGCTCCTGTCTGCACTTCCATTGTCCAGCTGCCTGCTAGAAACACCTCTGATGTCACAGCAGCTGAATCAGATGAATCACAATACTCTGAAAAGTTTGTGATGGGAGAAGAGCAGCTGGACTTCTTCTCTAAAGGATGCTGCCAGAACATAAACCTTAGTCTTTAAGGATTCCAGAAAAAAACAAAAACAAAAAACAAAAAACAACCTTTGAATTCAGCAGTAAATCAGTGGGTTCTGTCATCCCTGTGAGTGCCACTGCCTTTATTCCCAGGCCTTAGCAAGCGAACTGGATCCAGCTGTACTAGAACAGCTGTTGAACGCCTCCTATGAAAAAATTTCACCTCTGACTTCAGTGGCCAATCCCATCCTGAATCTGCTCTTTCAGCCTCCACTCCCTACTTCTCTCTTCACCCCCTGTTCTTATTCCTAACAGTAGCCCACTACATTTGCTAGGACACAATGTGGAGCACCCTGCTTGGCTGTTCTGGGGTATGATTCCTAGGAACTTCCCAAGGACTTGATTCTGCAAGCTCAGGCACGCAAGGGGAGATCAAAGTGGGGGTAGGAAGGAGGGGTGTGGAGGTGGCAGAGAACTGAGTGTCAGGAGGGCCAGGACAGCACAGCCCAGGCTCAGGCAGACTGGGGTTTGACTTACACTTTCCAATTCAGAGCCTAGTGGGTATCCACCTTCCTTTCTTCAACTTTCCATTGGCACTGCTAAATCCCAGAAGGCAACTATGTATCCTTCCGCGGGCTTTCCTGGCTCCTTTCATAGCACTTTATAAAACTCTTTTCTAGATAAGCAAATTTTGTAAAATCAAATCCAAGGCCCCATGTCTTTGTTTCTGTGATGGTGACAGACTCAAGGAGACCTAAATTATTTAGGTTGTAGCTCTGGACTGAGCGCTTGGGATGCACAGTGCAAGCCGAGAGAGCTAAAGAGCACCTGTCCCAGAATATATTTTTTTTTAACAGAACTTAATATTAAATTTACTATTTGGTAAGTTTACTGTGGTTACATTCTTCTATATACAATATTTTCCTAAATGAAGATTAAAACTAACAGTTTGTCACAGGTATGAAATTGAAATAATTAATATCTAACATGATTCACATTATTAAGAGTTATTAAAACTTCAGGTACTGGTTTTCTTAAATAAGAAAAAATTAAGTGTATTTACATATATATATATTTAAAGATTTATTTCTTTGTGCATACAGAACTGGGGTACAGGCCAGAGGTGCAGGAGTGGTGGGAGGATTCACCAGAGACAGAGTGGGGAGCAGAATAGGCAGATTGATGAAGTACGGTGCTAAGGGGAGTGGCAGACAGGTCAGGAGAGGTCTGCCATGCCATGTGGATCACCTTCAGGGTGGGGATCGAACTCATGCTGAAGTGACTTTAGCTTCTTAGTGCTGTGCTTTATCTTGCTGCGCTACCAGGGAAGGCCCTACTTATATATATTGTAAAGAACTCTCTTCCATTGCTAGTGGGAGTGTAAACTGGTACAACCACTATGAAAAGCTGTATGGAGTTTCCTCAGACTACTAAAAATGGAGTTATCATATGACCCAGCAATTCTACGTAAAAGGGATCTACCCAAAGGACACAAAAACACTAATTCAAAATTATACCTATACCCCTATGTGTATTGCAGAACTTTTACAACATGTAAAACCTGGAAATAACCCAAGTGCCCCCAAAATAGATGACTGGATCAAGAAGATGTGGTATATGTACACAATGGAATATTACTCAGCAATCAAAAAGTAAACTAATGCCTTTCACAGCAACATGACTGGAGCTAGAAGGGATTATGCTCAGTGAAATAAGTCAGAAGGAAGAAGATATATATCAGATGATCTCACTTAGAGAAGGGATATAGGATAACCAACTATTAGGGGGAAAATAGTAACAATACAAAAAAAAAAGAAAGACAATTATAAAACAGAGACATACTTCAGGGGAGGGAGAGGGAGAGGGATGGGAAGGAGAGAGAAAATAGCACAGGTAATTAGGACAGGAAATTCTAAAGGGATTTCACACCTGATGGGCAGGAGGAGAAGTGAACATTGTTTTAAAACTGAACAATTGTGTATATGTGTATATATATATATATATATATATATATATATATATAAATTTTAAAAAGGAAAAGAAATCTTAAAAAGGAAAAGGCAGTGAGTGATAGGAGGGAGTGAACCATAGGTAAACATTGGTTGGCAGCCAGGTGAGCTATACTCAGTGGTGGCTCCAAGGACATAAAGTTAACTGACACTGAAAAGCTAGACTTGTGTGCAGGTACTGATGTGACCCCAAGAAAGAGTGACTAAACTCAGGGTGGGCAACATATCTGTATCTAAACATAAGACTAAAAAAAAAATCAAAATAGGTGTTTTATGACTTAAGGCTAAAGGGAGATTCCTAAAACACTGGTGAGAACAAAAACACCAAGAAAAGGAGAGTATTTTGGGGAAGATTAATTATGTTTGAATAATGTTGTTTATTTTTATTGCTACAAAACAGCCTCAGCATTCTTCTGGCAAATAGTATCGCCACCAGGAAACACCCATGGATTTCTGTGCCTCATGCTGAGTTTCATCTGTTGCTGTATTACTCAGTGGCAAATGGCACCCATATTTTCTCTTGTGGAAGATCTATTTCTTGGGATGCAAAAAAAAAAAAAAAAAA